CGGCCTGGGGCGGAGCGCGCGTGGAGCCGCAGCCTGGGTCCCACGACCCGGACCCTACCTTTCTCCGCGCCGTTGGACTGCGTGGGAGAGGCCACGGGGTTGCGCGAGCGTGCAAAGGCGCTCATGAGCGGCAGCGCGCCGGGCCGGTGGTTCCTCGGCCTGCAGGAGGGAGGGAGCCGGGGACCAATGAGTCAGGGCTGCTGTCCCGGCCGCGCATGGGGACGCTGCTTCCTGCTCGGAGGACACTTACCAGTCCTCAGGGTCGCAGTCCCGGAAGCCTTTGGCGAAGGGGTTGCTGGCGATCTTGAGCTGCGTGATCTGCGGGAAGCAAGCCCGAGCCAGCTGCTCTCGCCCCTGCAGTCCACGGGTTCCGGGTCCCCCATCTCTCCCCAAGAGTGGCCCTTAACCCGACGGACTCCACTGGACTGCATCTGTCCCCTCTCCCAACGAAGACTGTGCCTCCCGCCCTGGCATGTGCCGCGGCCCCAGCGCGCCAAGCTGGGAACCACTGGGCACCGGGAATGGGCGCAAGCAGGGGAAGAGGCTCCCGGCGGGAAGTTTCCGGCACGTTTTGGAAAACAAACTTTCAGGCATCAATGACACTTGCTGCTTGAGAGGTCAAACTGATAGGGGGCTGGGCCGACGGCAGGGGGCTGGAGGTGAGGGGACCGCTTAAAGATCTGAGGCCCATGGGGGTGGGGCTTCATAGAGCGGGTGGCCCAGAGACCCACAGCACTGGGGAACTAGCTGCCGGACCCGCCGGCAGTCCCTGAAAACTGCACCCTCTTCCCTGAAGCCTGGATTCTCCGCGGCTGCCCGCCTGGAGCCCGGGCCTCCCCTCAGGCCCTCACCCGATGGTTCTGGTATGCGGTGACAGCCGTGAAGCGCGTCTCCTCAAACACGAAGGTTTTGAAATTCTCCTCCGCATACTTCTCGCTGTCCTTGCGTGGATCTACATAGACCACGTGGAAACGGGGCTGGTATCTGTGCATGGAGTTGAGAATGATCTGGAAGACAAGGCGTGGAGATGGGGAGCTCAGCGCCAAGTCCCCGGCTCCCAGGTCTGGGCTGCAGAGGCAGTGATGTTTCAGGAACTCCCACAATGAATCATGGCCCAAGTCTTCAAAAGATGGGGCGCAAAGCTTCTCTTCAGCTTTGGAATGGAGCTCAGCACGGTGTAGGGCAGTAGCTGTGGGCATAAGGTGGCCTTACTGGCTTAGGTCCCTTAAACTCCTTTAGTCCCTATGTCCTTCACAAGCTCACTGTCCCCAGTTTAAAACCTTTGGCAAACCTAGAGGGGTGAGGGGTGGGGAGGGAAGCTGACTTCCCCTCCTAGGCCTCAGAGACCCTCCCTGCTATCAGCCCAGCTCCTCATCTGTAGACCCTGCTTCTCCCTAGGCCCCCTGAGCTGGGGCTGGATCAGACATAGGCGCAGGAAGCTTGGGAGGGGAAGGGGTGGCTCACATGGCCGTTGTCATCTAGCAGATTGTTGGTCAACTTGAGCTTGTCAAAGGACACAATTTGTTTCATCCACTGCGCGCCCTTGGCTGGAGAATCCGGGTGGTAATGCACACGGCCTGGTGTGGCTGGGTCTGCCTTTCCGGCCACCAGCCATGAGGAGCTGTGGAAGGCATACCTGGAGACAGCACCGAGGTTGGGGTGAGTAGAGAGGAGCGCCTTGGCCCAGCACCAGTTGAACCCCAAAAGTGCCTTGGAGGTTTTTCCAAGAGACCTGGCTGCCTCCCCAAGCTGAGGGCTTCTCCACTTGGATTGTTCAGAAAGCAGGGAAACTCCTGCACTCTCAATATACGAAATGGTCTGCAAGCTGGCTTCCTGTCTGTGCCTGATTTCGTCGCACACGGGTTGGCTAGTTGATTTTGCCTCTGGTGCGGGGCTGGAGCCTGGCTTCAGCAGCACAGGCAGCCTGGGGAGCAGGGCGGTCCACACTCTTAGCTTATTAATTGCTGTTAATTGTCCAGGCTGCAAGGCCCGCCCTGCATAATCTCTCCCTGGCCACCCCACCTTTCCTGCCTGGCTCCGGGGCCCAGCGCCCTTGGGGGGAGAGGGGGGAAGGGACGTGATGCCCACAGTCATCTTAGAAGAGTAAGAGACAAAAAAGGCAGGGATTTATGTGCCAGGGGCCTGCCTGCTGCCCTCAGGAAATGCGGGGTGGTGGTGGGCTTCTTGGGCAGGACTGCAGTCCGGAGCCCCTTAGCCCAGGGGCTCCTGAGAATGGCAGTGAGGAGTGGAGTGTGTAGGCCCTGGGTTTGAATGGCTTGCTTGGGTTGAGGCAGTGGGCACAGCAGTCCTTAAAGATTATCATGGTATGGATGGTTCAGAGTGAGCTCATTCGCTGAAGGCTCCCTACCAGCTGGCCTTGCGGGGTGTCCTGTCCACTCACCGGTAACGTTTGTCATCCACAGGCACGAAGTCCATGAGCAGCATGTAGTCGGCCATGGGGTCCATGCCAAAGAGCTTCACTTGGAACGTAGGGAACATGCGCCTGGGGGCAGCCCAGGGCTCAGTCATCTACAGTGGTGCAAGGGCACCACCCCCAACTCCCTCCTGGTTGTCAGAGGGACGACCAGGCTCAGGTAGGGGTTGCTGGTCTTCACTCCACTAGACCAAGGCCCAGAACCAAAGAGCCCGACCCACCATAGCCTCCCTCCATGGGGCCAACCAGCTTCCCTCAGTCAGCTGCTATGACCTGAGTAGGCCCCCTCCTCAACCTGCAGGCAAGTGGAACTGATGGGTTGCCCCTGGTTCCTTCTGTGAAATACCAAAATAGGGTCAGCCTTGGTCCGCACCTCTCGGCAGGCGGCGGCTTCTGCCCCCTCTGCCTGTGTAGGCCTAGAAGCTCTTGCCGTTCCCGAGCCTAAACCTAGCTTCTACCGACAAAGCCAGTAGGGCAGAACTCCCTGCCCGAACTCTGTCCCAAAGTTTCTAGGCCTTTCTAGAGCCTTACTGTGCTCCATCTAAGCCACTCTTCACTGGAACAAAGTGAAACTGAGACAAGCTACTCCAAGGAAGCCCCCCATCATCCAGATCTCGGGCGATCCCCTAGTCTCTGTGAGAATGAGGCTTCGGAACACCCTCTGACCCCCCTATCTGCCTCACTTCTTCCCTCATGCGCTCTGAATTCTCTGGCTTAGCCTCCAATGTGCGCTCGCCTTCCTTCGCTCACCTTCCTTCGGCAGGTTCTGTAGGGACACAGAGCACCATCCGCGCTCTCCGAGGCCCCTACATACAGCTGCCAGGAGCGGACTCAACACCTGCCTTTGCAGTGCCCCAGACCCTGCTTTGGTGGCCAGTGACCCCACAGGGCTCTTGAAAGGACAAGACATATTCGCCAGATAGCAAAGAAGCCAGATCGCCAGCCCCACCTGGGCCATTGGCTTAGCCCCACAGCCCTTCCCTCACAGGTAACTCCGGAGGGTCTTGGTCAGATCACAGATGCCAAGGAAGCAGTCCTCAGATGGACCTCCACCCCTCTGAAAGCTTGAGGGTGCCACCGAGTGCCTGGCTCCTGGGCGACATGAAGGCCGGCCACTGTCCTCAGGAGGACACCTTCTCCCCGCCTGAGGCCTTCTCTCCAGTCAGGAGCGACCCTGTGCCCAGGAAGGCAGGACGAGCCTGCAGCTGAGGCGAGAGCATGGGCCTCAGGCTCCCCAGGGACGATGGTAGAGACCAAGAAACAGAAACCGCAAGAAGCTTTGCAAACAGGGCCTGAGCTCCTCTTGGCTGCTCCGATTAACCTGGTGTATGTGTACACTAGGCACAGCCTACCACTGCCTTTGTCTGCTGGTCAAATGGTTGCATCGCAAAACTTGTTCCCCTTCTCCTCGGCCATTAAAACAAACACAGGCCAAGTCAAGGGCCCTCCGGGCTGCCCCAGGCCGGCACTCTCCCAAAATTTAGGCCTAGAGAACCCGGCAGTGACCTCCGCCTCAACAGGATACACTGTTTTCCAGGGTCTGCCCTTTTCCTTAAAACGATAGGCATCATGACTGACTTTTCTGCCTCCTTTTTATTTTGCCCGCATAGACTGAACTCGGGAACCCAAGCCGGAAAGTTCCCTTGGATGTGGGATCCGCAGAGCCCCGCTTTGGCAGGCAGGCCTCAGCTGCTGCGACTTCCTTCCCCAGCGCGGGGTCATGGGGAGCCGGTCGCTGGCTTCCCGGCAGCACGGCGTTCTGGGGCAGCGGTGGGCTCGCCAGTCTGGCCGGGCTGCTCTGGGCCCGCCTTCCTGGCCGCCATGCCCGCCTGCCCCGTACCAGGCGGCTATCGCCTGAGCCGGGATCGCAGAGAGCGGAGGAGCCCTATGACCCAGAGGGGACCGCAGGTGCCAGGCCGCGCCCCCCACCCCGGGTTCGAGCGAGGCGCGCGGGTCCGGGTACGCACCGAGCGGCGCCACGTGGGGAGGGTCGCGGGTGGGGAAGCGCCCTGACCTGCCAGCCTTGGTGACGATCATCTCTGTGCCCAGCTGGTTGAACTCGTCCCATAGCGCCTTCATCTCCAGCTGCACGTTCACGCTGGCCACCTTCGCGTTCTTCTTTACCGGCGCCTTGGCGGCGGCCGCGCAGCT